TCTGTCTGTCTGTCTGTCTGTCTGTCTGTCTCTCTCTCTCTCTCACACACACACACACACACTTACCTAATTTGAAATTCTTCTATGTTGCAAAAGAAGACAAATGCCTCATTTATTGTAAAAAGGTATTGATATGTATTTAGCTGAAGTAGCATGTACAATACTTACTAAATGGCTTTTTATCAAAAATTCTGAGACCGAGCAAGGAAAGATCTGCCGTCATAATGAGTCTGTTGTGCTCTTTGTTGAAAGATATTTCACACATGAATGAACAGTTTGCTTTCTCCTCATTTGATGACACATATCCAACTTCCCAAATGCTTATTTACCACTTGATTATTACACATTAAGTGATGATTTACCCAATTACTCATATGAGGAATAAAACGGTCACCAATTTAGACAGTAAATATATTCATGGAGGAGAGGGTTATGTCTGACTGTAAATCTTGATGGTTTATATAACACCAGAATCAATGACAGCATCCTATAACTGCTTGTTGCTATGGTCTTTTGCTTTACTATGAATTTCTAGGTTGCATCTGGTTTGACATTTCATGAAACAGAACCCTGGGCTAGATAGACATCAGTCTGATCCAACAGGACTCTTTCATTCTTATGTAGATCCATGAAAAGCAACATCCTGTTGTACACCAGATATCTTTTGAGAATCTCTCTGTGTAGAACACTGCAAGAAGAATGCCTCTTCAGTTGTTCAAATTAAAAATAATAAATTGGGTTGATGCATGCTACTCCCAACCTCTGTGCTTTGAGGATCTGTGAATAATGAATTATCTAATAGGGTTTAATAATAGGCCCTCGGATAGAGTTTCTATTGTCCTACACAATTTTTAGTGCAATGTTTTCTACAGATGTCTTTTCATAGTGTCACTCACAGCATCAAGCATTTAACAATCAAAAGTAAAGAAGGCAAATGAGCAGAATGTGTAAACTAGCTCTATATGATTGATACCATTGTAAGGGTGTTCATATGATCCTTTGTGCCTTTGCAAACAAGCGTGAGGAGAATTCACACCTCCTATCTATGGTTTTCAAGCACTAAGATACAGGTCTGCTCACATCTCCTGTCAGCTCTGTGTTGAGCAGAAACATAAGGTGGGATAAGCTTATGTTCTTTTTTTTTCCCCTGGCTATAGAAGTTATTCTATATACAGAAGGCATCACATCACCATCAAATATATGGCCAGTAGTAATATTGACTGCATATGCTAGTTATTTGTTCATTTTCCTCCATCCCCATAGTTAAGTCAACATTTACATTTTTGAAAGGTCTGTTTCTTCATTCCATTTCTCCCTCCTCTTCCTTTTTATTTTCAGATAAAATAATATAATTTTATAATAGGAGGAAAAAAAATTGAGGACAGTGATGTTGGGTTATAATGGGAAGAAGCACCAGGGAAATTTGCAGTGTAGGTATGTGTTAACCTTTGAGGCAGTCTAGATCAGGAAATCAGCACTATGAACACTAATACTACTTTTACTGTAAGGTTACAGTAACAGAATCTCGCAAGTCTGAAAGCGTTTCCACCTTCCTCTGCCTTTAAGGTTCAGAGAACTAGGGAGGGTCAGTTTTGAGATGTTACCTCCATCCCCATTCCTGCTTTGGATTCAGATTTCCCTTATCGGACCATTGTTGTGGCTCTTCCTCCTGTTTCTCAAGGTTATTCTCACAGTATGGTCCTTTACTCATCAGAGTAAGAAAGAGTCACTTGAATCTTGTAGTATTTTGCTATATTGCCCCAAACATACCCATTGCAGGCTTACAATGAAGCAAGTTCCACTGTCTCTAGTACAGTTTATTTCCTAATAAATATGGTTAGGACCACAATTTTGGCCATCTCCAGCAAGACATTGTGGCATTTTTAATTTGGCTAATCTTTAAAGAGTTTTATTTTACATGTTTATCTAATCTTACTTTAATCTTGCCATGGGGTGTGTTGTTTACATGCACCATCACTTTCCTTACTCCAAAGGCATCTATTTTCATTACAAATAGGAAATTGAGCAATCAGCACAGTTTATCTCTGCATGACATTTTACAAAATGGTCAGGTATGCCAGCTGTTAATGATAATCTGGCATTTGAATGCAAATCTATTGCTATACTAAATGTGATGGGAGGAGGTGTGATAGCTTGCTATACTTGTACCTGAATCTAAATTTGACTGGATTTTTTTTTTTTTTTTTGGTTTTTCCTTTCTGCCATTGTGAAAAACCCTTAGAGATGCAAATAGTTAGATCAGTGTTGTCCAGACCTGGCCACTTTAAGATGAGTGGACTTCAACTCCCAGAATTCCCCAGCCAGCATGGCTGGCTGGGGAATTCTGGGAGTTGAAGTCCACTCATCTTAAAGTGGCCAAGTTTGGACAACACTGAGTTAGATGGTTGTTGTTTGATGGCAGATTGGTTTTACCTGACACAGTAATTGGCCAGGCTGCGTATGAAATGCATAGTTGGCCACTAGCTTCAGTGTTTCATGTTCTCTCTTTTTTTGCCCACCTTGTTAGTTTTCCTCTTCCAAGAGGGTTATTGGGCATAGTTTTAAAATATTTGAACTGTACAACCTGCAGAGTATGCATGTTATTTGCAAAGGCTGGCTGCTCCTAGCTACTTGGTTAATGAATTATTTGAAGATTTGAAAAAATATCAGTATAGGATTAGTCTATACTTCTGGGCTATTTTGCTGAATTAATATGCAACAGTTATTTTTTAATGCATTTATTTTATTATAACGTTTGTAGCCTGGCTTTTCTCCAAGAAGTTCAAAATGGCACAAACTGTGCTTTCCCCTTTCCCATTGCAATCCTGTGAAATCTTATAGCTAAGAAAGACTGGCCTATGCCTATCAAATGTTTTTCACAGCTCTATAGGAATTTAAAATTGAGGGAACTTCTAAAATTGAAGTTTGCCTCACCAGCTTTGCCCCCCATACTGACATCATCATTTTCAGACCATCACAGTCCTCCAATGAACAGGGTAACTCTCCTTTTAGCTGATTACCAGGGGAGCACTAGAAATTGGGTAGCTGTTGCCCTGTCCTCATCTT